GAGTATACTGCAAAGGAAACCATCTTCACGGACCTCCCCTATGACATTAGCTCGTATATCACTTCCATGTCGAGCGAGAATCCATCCATCTCCACTCAGGACATTTTCAAGCCGCTCGCCCCCCAGTCTTCCTCCGCGGAGGTGTCAACTTCAGCCACTGCTAATGCATTCGAGCCCTCTTTAGGTGCATTTTCCGATTCAGCGTCCCCCGCTGACTCACACTCGCCATCGCAGTCGGCCCACGCGGACGACCAACCATCGGATAGCGACGACGATTCAGACGATATGGAGGACGATTTTATAGCTTCCTCTTCCAAGAGGGCCACAACCTCCAGAGGCAAGGGCGCTAACACTACCGCAAAGAGCAAGCGCTCAGCAACCAAGCCCAAGCCATATCCTCGTGTATCAGACGTTGTTCGCGATGCTCCACACAAACTTGCCGCAGATGGCAAGCGTCAACCAGCAACCACCGAGCTCAAGGGTTCCGTGAGATCGGCTGATGCCGCAGACGATGATTGGAGACCAACGATGGAGGAATACCAAAGGATGTCGAGCAAAGAGAAACGTCAACTTCGTAACAAGATCTCAGCACGCAACTTCCGTGTTCGTAGAAAAGGTGAGAATACAGTTTTTTTTGGTGCCTTGTGTATCGATCGCTAATCATCCATAACGAAAAAAATCAGAATACATTACCACGCTCGAAGGCGAGGTAGCAGCTCGTGATCAGCAACTCGAAACCTACCGTGAAGAGCTCACAAGCACCAGGTCCGAGAACTCTGAGCTTCGCAAGGAAATCGAGCGTCTCAAGCGAGAAATCATGGAGGGCCGCAGCGGTGGATCCATCTTTGAAGATTCGCCCGTTGAAACCAAGCCTAATGTATTGCTCGAGACCAGTAACAAGTCGACCCGCGCATCGCGCAGCTCCATCGTCCGTCCCAACCGCAACAAGGATCTTCCATCGTCAGGATCCACCCGCGGGTTCTGGGGTGGAGCCACAATGGGTGGTACCACATCTGTTCACACTACGCTCATTCCCGACTTTGATATCAGTACTATTGCTGGCAAGCCTCGTCCTCTCCAGGAGAACATGAACCCTCTCCTCAACTCGACGC